GCTTCAACTAAGCAGTCAGTGGAAGGAATGTTAACAGATCTTGAATTAAGTGCCCTTCTAACTGCTGAAATACCTAGATTGTTGTCAATGTTCGGAAACATTGAGACTACATCCCAAGACACGAGTAGGGACCCCTCAGGGAATGGGCCTTTGCATTCAAATCTCAAATCTCTTTTGCATTCAAATCTTAGATCAAGACACCGCATTAATTACTACAATTGAGTAGTTGTCATTTGCCACTTTTCCAATATGACGCATTTTAATTTTATTCTGTTAACATTTTTGTTATTTGTTTATTTCTCAGTTCAAGAGCTCTTTTCAAGGATTCTGTTATGTTTGTTGTCGGCTTTTCATTCAGGGGCTTTGGAAGAGAAATTATTACTGAAGTTTAATGGCCCTTTCCTGGGATCCTGTTATGATTTTTACCTAATTACATTCATTCAGAGGCCTTCAATGGAGAGCTTGTTACTTCAGAGTAAACACTACTAATTAAGTTAGATTTTTTCTCTCTAGTTTTTGTCACTCATTTGTATTCACCTTATTTGTATTTACATGTCACCCATAGTTCTGTATTTGTCTTTTTCACCTTGTAATTTAGACCTTTGTTGTATTACGTAACCTCAATCATAACATTTCTGCTCTGTATATAAGTCGGTGTTTCTGTAAATCGCAACCATTGTAAATAGTTTTTTTAGTTTTTAACTTTTAACCTGAAGAAGGCCGAACGGCCGAAACGTTGTACATTAAACTCGTCCAGAACAGTCAAGAGGTGGTCTCTTCGCCACATCGTACACTAAACTATATATAGATCTATATATATATAAGGCTATATATGCAAGGCTAATTGATTAATTGAAATTAATTAATTAAACAAACATTAAAGTTTACACCTTATGGCGTTAGTTCATTAGCAAACAGCAGCCCCCTAAACCATCCCAACAGTGCACTCCGCACTAATTAATGACTGTCGCTTGTCTCACCTTCAACAAATGTTCAATTGGTTCACGATGTTCTTCCTCATCTTCTTCTTCGTCACTGTCAGTGTCAGATTCGTCTTCACTTTCTTCATTTTCTTCACTTCCTTCGCCAACGCTTTCTTCCCTTTCCAAGTGAACAGCTGCTTTTTGGCCAGTAGAATGCAGATGTAAGTCTGAATTCCCTGACAATGCAGCGAATGACGAACAGGCAGAGTAGACAATTGAAGAGCGTGCAAGGCGTTTGATGGTGTCGTTTTCGACAAGGTCGGTAATGCTCGCCTGATCTGGGAATTCTGCAACAGAAAACAGAATTAACCAATGTATAGCACTTGATGTAAATATCAGGATACACATCATGTGTAGCGTTCTCGTTGATCCCTGATAAAGGGAGTTTATTTCCTCCTCTCGGTCTTGGTCCCGGGGTATATTCCATGGTATATCACGAAAGTTGCGTACAGTAGTATTTATACCATGCCATACAAAATACAGCCATTCAGAATCCAGGACAGCCGTTGTATACTCGACGGTACACCCAACCTTCCCATCATGCACGGCATCGATTGTGTTTCACTTCTGTAGTTTCTATCGAGAAAATACAAGTGACTGGTGGGATAATCCATGGCATCCCACTCTAAAGCGTTTATAAAACTGGTATATAAATAGCTGACAGCGTGTTTTTCTTTTATACCTATGCCTGATAAAGGGAGCTTATTTTCCTCTCCCCGGTCCTTTTCAGGTTCCGCGGCCACAGTTTTGAGGTACTGGCTGAAGACATCTGTAACCTGACGGTTATAAGCTTGAAGTGCTTCTGCAAATTCATCAGGAAGATCTTCCAAAATTACCTTAAAGGGAAAATAAAACCATAAATGCTACATTTACGCAATTGTAATTGTTAGTAAACTCTTCTGTGAGCGGTCAGAGAGGCGTGATGATAAATTATGCATCAGAGGTGGAACAACAAATAAGCTAAAGATTGCTGATATTGCAGATCTAAATGCATTAAAACAATGCCGTGTTGTAAAGTTTTCGTGTTTCAGTTGTTCTGTTGCAACAAATTTATTTTTGGCGACGTTAACCTTTTTCCTCCATCAAAGAATTCTAGAAATGAGAACTAACTGGTTGATTGTGACGCACATATTAACTTGAAAATAAATTTGACATTGTATGGAGCGCTAAAGCAAACAAAATATAAAGTAATTTCGACTCATAAGTTTGTGTTGGACGTATCTAACTGGATTCTAAACCTAGTTTATGGCCTGTTCCACTCTCTTCAATGAGATGAATGAGATGATCTTTATGAAGAAACTATTACTTTTGACGTAGGGCACAAGTGGATTCTTCGCTTGAAAGAAGCGTGAAGGAATCTTTGACCAAACAAGTGGCTCAGAATAAGAACCATTTTCCTCATGACGTCTTCAGAAAATTTGCCTGCAACAGAGAGACAGAAAATAAAACACAATAAATGTATTTGAATATCGTATGATGGAAACATGTTTGATTTTGAGAGAAAGGAAGAAACAGAAAGAGAAATGGTGAGAAGGGACTCATTAGAGAAGGTAGGAAATATTCCCTTCGCCATTCTAGTAACAATTTGTGAGTCAAAAAGGAGAATATGCATGGTAGATCGTATTGAAGCTGTCCTTACCTTTTAATCCTGATTGACAAAGATCATGAAAGAGCCCGCGTTGCAGAAAACTGACCAAGACGTAGTTGGAAGGCTCGTGATAATGAAGATGAGTGGCGAGTTCGGCCATCTCTTGAGGAGCTCCAGTTTCATTGTTTATAAGACTCTGCAAAGGGATGAGCAATGGAGAGCATTTTCTTCTGCCTCGTTGTACAACATAAAAGGGGAATGGGTGCACACCTGTCATTCGTACTATTATAGGAATTTCTTACTTTTTTATGGGAATTTCTTGTGCTACTTGTTGTGCATCTTATACCACATGCTTAACCGTAAACACGAGGAAAGGTCAGACAAAAGACGTTCTATTCTTAGTGTGTACCGCACGATAGAATTTCCTTTCGCTAAAAATACAGCTGAAGTCTGTTCAGCCAGCATATCCTAAAGCAGCTGTATAGGTATCGGGGCGCCTGCTCGATTTCCACAATGAAATGCTACCTTATCGACAGCTACAAGAAATACACGTCCGGGGAGGGGGAGGGGGAGGG